TTGTTTCATTCTGCCAGTAATTATACACACCCAAGTCTCGCCTGACTAAAAACTCCTGGCCTCCCTTAACCCTCCCCTCCCCTCCCCTCCCAGTGTCCTGATAGCTCACTTTCCACTCTTTTAAAGCAAAGTTATTTTAAGCAGTGTCCACACTGTTTCCATGTCTCCCACATTCCTCCATGATCCCCTGCAGTCTGGCTCCATCACCCCTACTCCACCAAAACTGTTGGCTTATTTTCAGGTTTTGGCTCTTACAAATAAAGCTGCCTTAAATATACATGTATTTTTTTTTTAAATGTGGACAGACATTTTATTTCTCTTGAGAAATATCTAGTTGTGGAATGGCTGGATCATATGGTTAGTATGTATCTGGCATTTTAAGGGAATGCCAAACTGTTTTCAGTTTTTTGTTTTGTTTTGAAACAGAGTCTTGCTATCTTGTCCAGGCTGGGCCTGAACTCACTACTTAGCCCAGGCTGGCCTCAAACTCACAGTGATCCTCCTGCCTCAGTCTCCCGAGTTCTGGGATTACAGGCATGCACCACCATGCCCTGCCAAACTGTTTTTAAAAATGTCTGTGCCAGCTTCAGGTGGTGCACACCTGTAATCCCAGTACTCTGGGAGGCTGAGGCAGGAAGGTTGCAACTTCAAGCCCAGTCTGGGTAACTTAGTGACTTAGTGAGACCCAATAAATAAATAAATAAATAAATAAATAAAGCTGGGGATGTAGCTTAGTCCAAAAGCCCTGGGTTCAATTCCTAGTAGTGCAAAAAAAAAAAAAAAAGAGTGGCTGTGCCATTTTATATACCCACCAGTGAGAATTCTAAGCCATGCCCATTTTTATTTTTTGTTCTTGTTCTTGTTTTTGTTTTTCTGGTTCTGGGGATTGAATCCAGCTCCTCCCACACATTGACCATGCCCCCTACCACTGAGGTACACTCCTAGCTCCTTGCCCATTTTTAAACTGGGTTGTCTGTCTACTTTCTATTTAGTTGCAAACAGTCTTTATATATCCTAGATACAGCTCCTTTTGTTACTGATTCTTTACAAAAATTCCGGTTTCTGGCTTGCTTTTATCATTTTTTGAGATAGGATCTTGCTATGTAGTGCAGGCTGGCCTAGAACTCGCTATGTAGCCAAGGCTGGCCTCAAACTTACAGAGATCCTCCTACCTCAGCCTCCTAAATACTGAGATTACATCCCCATCTTTTATTATTTTCTGAATAGTGTTCCTAGAAGAGCTAAAGTTTTCCATTTGGATGAAGTTTATTATTATTATTTCTTTTATTTATTTTTGGTACCAGGAATTGAACTCAGGACCTTGTGCTTGCCAAGCAGGCACTGTGCCACTGAGCTATCTCCCTGCCCCTGGATGAAGTTTATTGATTTTTTTCTTTTCCTCTTCATGCTTTTTGTATTGTATTTCAGAAACATTTGCCAAACTCAGGGGATTGAAATTGATGAGGCTACATGTATCAATTTCCTAAAATAAATCCCACCATCATGTAATATTAACATGTGGTAATAAAACATAATAATAAAGAAGTGTCTGCTTTGGACACTCTGAGGCATCATTCTGACCACTTTCTGGAAGTCTGTAAAGCTTTAGTTGCGCTGTCCTGGCTGCCTTGATGACCTGAATTGATTCAAAACATTTCCCTTTCATGGTCATTTTGACTTGAGGGAACAGCCAGAGGTCACACAGTGCCAGATCCAGTGAATAAGGTGGATGAAGACATAGCGTCATGTTTGTACAAGCCTGCCTTTCCGTTGGATGACAGCATTCACGGTATTTTTGATCACACCTTGGAAAGACACTCAAGAAAGAAGACCCCCAGAGCTGCTTCAGAGAGTAGCAAGCTTGATGGGATGAGTGTGTTGCAAGTGAGGGAGATTAAATTTACTGTAAGAAACTTGAAAAATTTAAATATTCACAGTACCTGTTGATCATACCTCCTAAAGGTTGCCCTGCTTTTCCCTAGCAGGCTTGGAGAGGGCCACACGAGTCCTCTGAGCCCCAAGCCCTCTGAACGCTACTGGACACTGGACTCACGGTTCTGGCCACGATCTCCCTCCAGACAAGGACAGCTGCCCCGCCCTCCTGATGTCAATCAACATCCTTACAACCTGCACCACCTTGCTGGTTGCATCAGCTGAAGTCCAGCCAGGCCTCTCTGTGGGTCTTGGAGGCAGGCTCAGGGCTGGCTGTGAGGTGCACACAGACCCGGTCATCCATCCTCCCATCTGCTTCCTGTCTGTCCTCCTTTAGGGGATTCCTTGTGGAAAGGAGGCTCTAGGGCTGGAGAAGGAGCCAGGGAGCTGATGGAAAGGAGCCTGGAACCGCAGGACAAGTGGGGTGCACGGCAGCCCCAGCCTGAGGTCCGTGGCCTCCCGCAAAAGGCCACGGCAGGCAGCAGTCGGGCCCCTGCGCAATCCCTCCTGCCCGGCCAGGCGACGGGTGAAACCAAGGTCAGCAAGGCCTCTCACTGCTCTCCCAGGCAGCCGCCTTCCTCGGGGGATCCAGGGGGCCAAGTCAATAACCCGAAATCATAAAATCGCAAAGGCGTTGAGTGTTTGGACGGAGGAGCAGACACAGCGAGTGGGGCCTTTTCCCAGGCAGCTCGTGCGCAAGAAGCAAAACAGATTTATGGGCGTGGGGTTGAAGCAGGGTTTCGGGTGGGTGGAGGAGGGGGTTTGGTGGAGACGGTGACATTTCTAGTGCACAGGAAAGATGATATTTTGAATTACACTGTCCTGGGACTGTGATTTAAGATGCAGGAAACGCTCTCTTCCTCCAGAGGGCTTCGTTGCGGTGCTGGGTGGAGGAACAGGAATAACACCTGGGGCTTTTATGGGCCTCACAGACCTTGGAGCCTCGGCTCTGTAGCCTGGGAAATGCGGGTGTCAGAGGTGCTGGGCTTTGGTGGGGAGGACAGACTGGGTGCCCACACTTGGCCTTGACCTTGGATTTCCAGGTGTATAATGGGGCAGCCCGGACCTCCCACGACCCCTCATCACAGGACTGAGACCTGCAGGCTTCAAAGTGCAAAGGCACCAGGTTCACACTCGTGTGACTGCACACGCACAGCATGCAACATGGTAGTGGAAGCCTCTCAGGGTCTGAGGCAGCCACCTGGTCATCTCTGCCCCAGAAGTTCCTTGGGGGAGATCCTGACGGCTCAGGTCAGCAGACACAGATTAGCTGGGGCACAGAGACTCACAATTCTGCTGCCCCTGGGGTCCTCCGTGTCCTTAGGGGACACCCTTCTCTTTCCTCACCGACGACGACGACCCACTCAGCAGTCCCTCGGCCATGCTATGCCTCAGTCTCCAGGCTGGGTCTGGAGCCAGGAGAGAGCAGGAGACGCCCGGATCACAAAGGCTGGGGCTGTCAGGAGCGGTGCGGACACCCTGGGAATCGGGTGCACGGGGGACAGAAGTCCTAGGCAGGAGGTCCAAGGGTCAGCGTCTCTGAGGAGTTTCCAGGGTGCCTGGTGACTGAGGAGTCACCTGACCGCCACAGTCAGCCCCCCAGGACTCAGGTCCCCGGGGACAGCGATGCGTGAGGGTGTCACACATGCGGTCTGGCCTTACCACGCCACAGTGAGAGTTCAGCAAAGCCCCTGCTGTTGGTGCACCACCCGCACCTGCCAGGATGCCCCACACTCCCTCTGCAAATCCCTCTGAGATTTGCTGTCCTCCCCATCAGGGGCCCAGTGGGGGCCTCAGCCTGGGGCCGTATAGCAGGGTGACCTCTCCGGGGCCTCCAAGTTTCTGCAGGTGCAAGGGGCTGCTACCCTTTCCCATCCAACAATCCAGAGTCAAGCGGAGACCTCAGTCACCTGCCAAGGCCAGTTGTAGGGGCCTCAGGGTCTGGGAACCGGCTGTGACTTGTTCCCTGGGGGACAGAGTGGCAGCCCTGGGTCTCTAGATCACCGCTAGGCGCATCCTGGCAACTGGCACCTCTCCGTGTTTGCTGTCAAAGCTCTAGGACCATGGAAGATTTTAGCTAGAAGATTTATGAGGAGATTTTAAAGACCTTATTTGTTTTAGTACCGGGGGTGGGGACTCAGTAACTCATGCACGCTAGGCAGGTGCTCTGCCACTAGGCTACACCCCCAACCCTTTTATTTTTCATTTTGAAGCAAGGTCTCACTAAGTTGCCCAGGCTGGCCTTGAACTTGCCATCCTCCTGCCTCAGCCTCAGCCTGTAGCTGGGATGACAGGCGGGTACCACTGTGCCCAGTGAATTTACTGAGTTTTACACGAATGGGGACAGGTCTGTGTTTCTGGGGACACCCCCAAAGATTAACAGCAGGGCTGTAGGAAGGACTCAGCGGCAAACAAGGCCCTGGGTCTGCACCTGGAGTCCTGCACCGCCCCTCCATGCCCAGAGGCACACAGTGAGGCCAGACTCAACGCACCCCCTGGGAAGTGAGACCCAGGTTAGAAAACTGCAGCTCAGGTCACATGGCTGTGAAGGGGAGAGCTTTCCAGAAGTCGGGCCTGGCTGGTGACATCCGCGTCCTTAGCTGTCCAGGCTGGGGTTTCAGCAGTCTCTGGTGTTGGGCTGCGGGTAAAGTTTCCCCTAAACCTTCGTAATGAACACATGTGTGCATGCATGTGGATATACATGCCTGCGTGCACATAGATACACATGGATGCACGCACACAGATATCCATGCATGCAAACAGGTATGCATGTATGCACATAGATACACACGCATGCATATGCACGCACTTATACATGCACATACGTGTGCAGCGGAGAACACATCTCCAGCCCTCACTTGTCCACCCTGGCCAGCCCCCCTGAGGGTCACGAGTCCCCCCACATTACTGCTGCGGGGCACAGCAAGAGGACGAATGAGGATTCGGGGCCGGGCTCAGAAAGGCTCAGCAGCGCGGCACGCAGACCCCGTCCAGACCGGGCGTTGCCCAGAATAAAAGCACAAGGCAAACACGAACAAGCTTGTAAACACGGCAGACAATAGGGAGACGGGCCCTGGGGCTCCATAAAGAGCGTCCGGCCGGGCCAGAGCTCAGGGCCCGCTTGGCTCGAGGCAGCCGAGGCCCGCGGGCGGGGGGCTGCTCGGGCTTGGCGGGGGCGGGCGTCTCGGCCGCGGCTGGCTGTCCAGCTCGGAGTTGGCTGGGAGGCCTGGCCTCCGCACAATAAACAACAGGGAGAGATAAATCGCGAGTGTGTCTGGACCGGTGGGGAGCCGAGCGAGGTGAGCAGGGGTCACGGGAGGCCTGTCTGCCTCCTCGGCGGCGCCCCTCTGCGGGGAGGGCCCAGCGCACCCCCAGGGTCTGAGCCCAGAGCCCAGAAGGCCCAGAGGCAGATGCACCAGGCGAAGACACACAGGTCCTCTGGGGAGTACTTCCACCTGGAGAATTCCAGAGGCCTCTGCGGGCTGCAGCTCAGGGGTGGGGACAGGGGCAAAGGTCACCAAGCCGTCCTTCCTCCTGCCGGGGTCCCCTGACTTGGTCCGTATGGGAATGTCCCCCATCGCTGGGCGACTTCATGCGTAGCAGTTCTACCTGCACCATCCTGACTCTGCAAAATCGGTCCCAGCTGGGTGAGATGGTGCACGCCTGTCACCCCGGCACTCTAGGAGGCTGAGGCAGGAGGATGGCAAATTCAAGTCCATCCTGGACAACTTAGTAACTGAGCGAGACCCTGTCTCAAAATAAAAAAGAGAAAGGACTGGGGATGTGGCTCTGTGTGAAGGCCCTGGATTCAGTCCACCGTGCTGAAAAGAAACAATCTGCTCCTGGTGCCAAGTCTCTTGGGGGTGTCTTCGGTGGGTGCCCTGCCAAATTCTTCTCCTGCAGTCTACACCTCAACTGCCTGGGCCACCAACCAGGTAGCTGGGCCTGCATCCACTCCCACTCACCGCTTCTCCAAAGGCCCCTCTGTGCCCTGTCCGCCACCTCCCGGGAGGGGCCAGCCCCAGCCATCCTGCCCTCAGGCCACCCCTGCAAGTGGCCTTCCTGCCCCCCCAGTCTTCAGGACAGAGCTCCGGACTTAGGGTTCCATAGGCCATGTGGGGGTGTCCCCTCCTCTGCCCTCATGCCCCTAGGGCTTTGACCCCACTAGGGGTCGTCCCCACACCACCAGGTTATTCTTTCTTTTCTCCCAAGGATGAATCTTTTTAAGAAAAAACGAATATGAAAAGGAACAACACCCCAAAGGAAAATGGACAAAGAGCACACAGGAAGCCCAGGCAGGCAACGCACACGTGTAAGAAACGTCCCGTCTCGCACTACACCGGCCCCAAGCCTTCCGTTGTTCACGGGCCCCCACAGGGAGGGTCCGTGCCCCCCGGAAATGCGCGCTCAGTGATGTCCTCCCCACCAGCAAGGTCCCCATCTGGACAGGCGCTGAAAGCCGTAACACACACCAACTATTGTGGGTGCCACTTCTGGTGCTTCCGCTGGGTTCACCTGGTGCCCGGGCCGCCAGGCTACAAAGGGCAGGGCCTGTGGTGACTCCTAGAGTGGGGAGCCCTGCACCCCCACGTACGCAGCCCCTCCTCCCAGAGCAGGGACCCTGGCCTCCCTGCTCCCACCAAGACCACGGGGACACATGGGGCGCTTCCTGAGGCCAGGGGCCTCAACTCCCTGCTTCTCTGAGGAGGGACCCCGGCAACTCTCACAGATCCAGAGGCTTCCTGACAGCAGCCCCTGCACTCACCGCACGTAGCCTCAGAGAGGGTAAATGGCTCCCCCAGAACACACAGCTAGGGAGTGAGCGCTTCAATCCAAGCCCAAGGTGACCCGCACACAGCTTGCCTCCGACAGGCTTCCCAGGCCTTCCTGTCGTCGTTGTCGGACACCATTTCTTTCTGCCCTTCTTGCTTCCCAGCCCCCACCAGCCACCTTGGGCTCTGTTAATTTTTGTTTGCAGTACTGGGGATCGAGTCCAGCACCCTCCCACTGAATATACCGCTTCCCTTCCCTTCCCTTCCCTCCCCTCCCCTCCTTTCCCTTCTCTTCCTTATTTTATTTTGAAACAGTGTCTCACTAAGTTGCCAGCTGCCCAGGCTGGCCTTGAGCTTACTATGTAGCCCAGACTGGCTTCAAACAGTGCAGTCCTCCTGCCTCAGCCTCCTGGAGCACTGGGATTACAAGCGCCACCACCAGGTCCAGCTGGATGCTGTCGTTTTGATCCTGGCTGCCCAGGGCTATCCTGCTCAAGAAGGTGCCAGTCTTCAAGGAAGCCCACGATAGGATGGAAGCGATGAAGGAGCAGATGTGCTCCCTGGGAACCGGGGCTGGGAGAAGACGGCCAAGCGGAGCCCTGCCCGGGGGCTTCTGTGTGAGTGGGGCGACAGGCTAAGCCCCGCATCGGTGCCCCTGCGGGTGACAATCACTGTGCTCACAGGACTGCAGGGCAGACGGGCAGCAGGGAGCAGTCGGTGCCCCCGCCTGGGCCTGAGCAGAGGAGTTGGCGGGCCGCTTGCTGGGGATGGGGTGTCTGGGCCAAACCTTGGGGCAGCTCTTCCAGGCTGGGGCCAGCGGCGGTTGAGGTGCCGGGGAGATGAGGCCAGACAGCACAGAGGCCTTAGGGCCCACAGCCACCCTGCTGAGGAGCTGAACTTTCTCTGCAGTGAACAGGGCACAGGGAAGGCTCGGGGCCCGGGGCACGTGCTCACACTCGCTGCTTTCCCAAGGCTCTTGGTGTTGATGCGTGGGCACGGGGGGTGGGGGGGTGGGCAGAGCAGGGGTCTCTGGCGGAGGCTGGCATGGGGAGAACGGGATCTGCAAAACCATGGACCCCAGGGACCCGGTTCACGATCCACCTGAGAGACCGGAGTGAGGAGGGAGCTAGGGCCTGTGGGGACTCCTGAGGGGTTTGCTGCGGAGACGCGGAGGGGCGGGGGGCGTGTGCAGGGGAGCGGCAGGGGCCACGTGGGGACCTGGCCGGGTGTGCAGCCTCCACGTGTCTCCTTTTACCTGAAACTCCCCCCTAAAATGCCCAGTGGAGAGCCAGGCATGGCGTATACATCGGTAACCCCAGTACTCAGGAGGCCGGGGCAGGAGGGTTGTGCCGAGTTTAAAGCCGGTTTGGGCTCCGTAGTGAGTTCAAGGCCAGCATGGCCTCCATAGTGAGACCCTGTCTCTAAACACCAATAAATAACAGTAACAAAAAAGCCCAGTGGCTGCCAGGCGCCCCTGCCCTGTCTCCCAGCAGATTTCCTACTCCTCCTGTCTAGGTGAGCAGCGGGCAGCAGGCGGCGGGGTGGGGTGATGCCCGGCCTGATCTGAGCATCCCAGGGGTGTCACGGCCCTGCTCAGCGGGGGAGCCCAGGCCCCATGGCTGGTGCTGCTGGGCTCAAGCCCAGTCCTTGCTGTGGATGGTGCTATAGGCATCCAAAGCCACTGGCATGGGGACCAGTGCCAGGGCTATGGGGGAGAGGGTGGCTGCCCAAGGAACCTGGGTGTTCTGGCTGCCCATTGTACAGCTGGCAGCCAGCCCTGGCAGGAGTCGGCCCGGCCGTGGGTGGCAGGGAGCCCCAGCCCATTGGCACTGACCACGGTGGCAGCCGCTTGTCTTGTTTTCCATCTCTTCCCCAAGCGCCAGCCAGCTCACTGCCTTCCCTGGAGGCTGCAGTGCGCCAGCTCTGCTTGGGCTGTGCAACGTGGGTGAGTCACTTAACCTCTCTGAGCCTCAGTTTCCCACTAGGACATGAGAGTGACAATCCAGTCTGGTGCCTCACATCTAGTGGGCACTTGCTGAAGGTGAAGGTGGGCAATGGCACCTGTAGCCTGACCTCGAGGCTCAGGCAGAGGCTCCCTGAAGACCCAGCACCAGAAATGCTTATAGTACAGCATCACTGTTCTGACTGGTGATTTCCAAAGGAGATCCCAGGACAAGCAGCACAGGGCAGGAGGAAAGCCAGGCATGGTGCTACGTGCATGTAATCCCATGACTCTAGGAGGCTGAGGCAGGAGGACTGCAAGTTTGAGCCGAACCTGGGCAACTTAGTGACTTAGCAAGACTGTGCTGCCCTGGAGCCCCGGGCAAAGGTCGGGAAGGCTGAGCTGGGCTGGGTGTCAGGGAACCAGGAGGATCCGGAACCGGAGTCAGGGCCAGAGCACCTGAGCAAACCCACGCCGGAGCCAGAGTGGGCAGAGTGCGTGTCAGGCCAGAGAGGGTAGACGCCTCCCTGCCTGGCTGGCAAGTGAAAGGGACACTGGATCCTGAAGGTCAGTCCCGAAAGAGTCTTTGGGGGCCACCAGCACATTCATGTCCCTGCAAGGAGGGCCAGAGATGAGAAGAGCAGCACAGG